TTACCGGGGATCACTGGTGTCTCTGAGCGAAATCCAGGAGGAGCAGAGGGTCAGCTCACACACACACACACACACACACACACACACACACACACACACACACACACACACACACACACACACACACACACACACTCAGAATCAGAGTACCTTTATTAGTCCCACAGAGGGAGAATTTAGATTTGTTTCAGCAGAAAAGAGCCAAAGACAGCTCACACACACACACACACACACACACACACACACACACACACACACACACACACACACACACACACCCTTATGTCCCCTTATGTAAGGGAGGCAAGTCCCCACATGTGACTGTGTAAACAGATTTAGGTCCCCACAAGGATAGTAATGCTAGGACACACACACACACACACACACACACACACACACACACACACACACACACACACACATACAGAGATGCACACACACCCTTATGTCCCCATAAGGGAGGCAAGTCCCCACATGTGACTGTAAACAGATTTAGGTCCCCACAAGGATAGTAACGCTAGGACACACACACACACACATACAGACAGAGATGCACACACACGAACGCACATATCATATTCTATTGACATGTATATAGACTTCTTGCACTATTTTGTATTTTTGTATTTTATTATATATGTTGCGTTGCTGGAGGAGCTCAGGTCAGAACAATTACATTGCCATTTCTACACTGTAGCTTTGTGCATGTGACAATACAGCATTAGACTCTTTGAAAACACACACACACTCACACACTCACACACGCACACACTTCTATCCTTCAGATGTCTTATCCTCACATAATGTCTCGCAGTCCTGAGGGATCCTTAAAAGCGTCCTCGGTCTAATTCACACGAGAGGGAGATGTGTTTGTAAAGCTCGTACACAAACAACAACACTCGTAAACATGGAGGGGAACTTCAGTGACAGATTAGTAAGAATTAATAAACATGCTTTCCCTCCGGCGGCTCCTCATCAAAAATCATTCATTGAGTTTCCTGTTTCCTGTTTGAGTGGCTGCTAGACATAAAGACACAGCTTTTCATTCATTACCTTGTAGTCTTTATTTATAAACACTTCTAAAGTCAGCGTTTCAGTTCTGCCGCTGCACCTATTGGATGAGAAGTGCTCCGTAAACAGTGTTCTGCTTCCTCTTCTTAATGCTCTGAGTCTGACTGAAGTGTGTTTGGGTGCAGAAATTGAGGCGCTACCGGCCCCTGAGGAACAGCTGTCCCCCGATGGCCCTCCCTCTCACCAAGTCTGTGTCCATGCTGGCCATCAGCCAGAGAGACCTCGATGGTGAGTGAGTAGTCATGGTTACACCCTGTCATCGCAGCTCCATGTCATCATCTCTCTAATAACTAATCAAATGACCAACCACGTACCTCTTATAAATGTTGTTGCAGCTGTTAGGGTTGGCGAGGTTATACCTTTTATATTCTTATCATTTATGAACCTGAGTAGAGGTCTAAGAATAACACCTGTAATCTAAATCCTGATTTGGTTGGGTTCATGTTTCTTAGGCGTCACAGTTTCTCTTTACCTGGACATGTCTCCCTCCTTCTCCTCACTGTGTATAACATTTCTTAATTGTTTTTAATAAGTGTCCTGCTGTCTGTCTGTCTGTCTTCCTTCCTTCCT